TTAAATACTTGTCACTTGATTATAAACAATTATCTGATCAAACTATGGCCATAAACAGGGCATTTAGGCATTTTTCTTAGTTTGACCATTGATAATAATGTGCGAAAGTTTGTCAATTTAAAAAAAAATAATAATATGTAAATAGAACAAACTCAATTTATGACAATTTTCTAGAAAACTATAAGTTATTTGATAGCCAAGCTTCGAACCCAACCGGGTACACAAACCCTTATTACGAACGACCAGTTTGCACCGTGAAGCGTTTGCACAAACAGTTTCGTTCATCTTAAAACAATTGCCAACACTTAAATATGGTTTTAATATAATCGCAACGTTTCGCAACACTTAACGCTTTTGCTCTCAGCTCGCGCATATTTATAGCTGATATAAGTTTTATACGCTTAATATCAATAACTTAAACACTTTGTAGCCACCCCTTCACCCTTCGCGTATCCAGACCAAAGTCCAGACTTAAAGCCAGTCGGCTTAAACACTTAATCAGTTAATTGTTGTTGGCAGGAGGCCTGCAGCAAGACGGCGATGTGGACATGTGTGCGATTTTTTAATTAACAGCGCCATTTACACAGCATTACGACTTGCGCAACAACAAAAACACACATGCACACACACACACACACACACACACACACACACACCCACATACACGGGCGCAACAAAAACGAAAAATGGCCGTTATCACGCCACAATAACCTCAAAATTTATTCACTTTATTGATAATGCAATAAATCGCAGCCAGTGGGCGTTTGTGTGCAGCTGCATGTGTGTGCGAGAGAATGTGTGTGTGTGTGTGTGTTTGCAATGGCCGCCTGCAACTGTGTATACCTTTTAGTGTGTGTATGTGTGTGTGTATGGCAATTTTTTCGTAGCATATTTCGGGCTGGCGCATATTTTTCATGTTTGCATATTTCATTTCAATTTTATTTCTTACCGACACACTCGCGTGTGTACATACACTGTAAAATATGCCATGAAAATCAACAGAAATGCACAACCAGCAGTTAAACACACACGCACACACACACACACACCCATGCAGCACGTGAATATGAGCCTCAGTTTGCAGTTTTCAGTTTGCAGCAATCGTAAAATTCTCACGCTGCATGCCACACATCGAAACCGAAAAACAAAAAAATCCAAAACGAAATAGTGTATACGAGTGCAATTGTATTTCGATTTTATTGCTTTTGTCTTTTAGAAGAGCCTCGCCCGGGTTTGGGCAAGCACAACAGCTCAAAGTTGGAGCCTATGGGCGAGCTAGCAATATTTTCGTTCCATTTTCGGCGCGTGTGTTGATAAGACGAGAGTGGGTGCTGAGAGGGGAGAGAGGGTTCGACAAGCATGTCGCCTTACAGGCTCGTTACAATATCCGTTTCCGGCGAAACACAGTTCAGCCCAAGCTTGACTCGAGTCACCCTGTGACCAGCAGCAATTGCTGTGCTGTTCATTAGCCCGAAAAAGGGGCTTTAGGGCTTTAATGCTGCTGCCTTAAAGCTGTCACACTTTATTTGACAGCCTGGCCAGCTAGTTGCAACAGGGTCCAGGCACCACTTGCCCCAGCTGCACGCTATTCGCACTTCCGGTTACAGTCCATTTAGGGGCACCATATTGCGGTGTTGCTGTTGGCACTTTTGCGCATATTTTGCAAAATCATTACTTAAATACACCGAGCAGCAGAGAGAGAGAGACAGAGAGAGGGAGAGAGTGAAAGAGTGAGTAAGAGAGAGAGGGAGCGAAGAGAGAGAGGGAGAGAGGGCGAATGTGTAAGAGAGTGGCCAGTGAACTGCCAAGTTGTTGCCTGTCGCCCTTCGCCTTTTTGGCTCGTTTGCTTTTGGCCAGTTTAAAATGCATTTTCGTTATTTGCCGTGCAGCTGCGACGCACACGTTCTGCCTCACCCGCCCCTCTGCCAGCTTGCTTGCCACAATCCTTTTTCTCGTATACACTTTGGCAGTGCGTGCCATAAGCTGGTCGTCAAATATGTAACACATAGCGCTAGACGATGCTTGGCAAAGAGCAACTAGTTGGACATATTGTACTATAAACTCTCTTAATATATTAAAGTACTGAGTTGTCATACAACTGACTCGGGGACTATCATTATTTGTCTCGGAAAAATATGCCTGGCCTTATCCGCACGAGCTGGAGGCTTCAGATTTTCAATTTCATACATTTTCACAATTCGAAATTCACTTTTTTGCATTCTTCCAAAATATATTAAATGCATTTTATGCCTTCACTTGCTTTCTATCGGGCTTAGGGTATCCAAATTGCGCTTTAACTTGGTAGCCTCTGATTTTTTTCTATTTTGTTCAGCTTTTTATACCCTTGTTGCACCTTGTTTGCACCTTGTTGCCGTTTAGTTGACGCTTAATTTATGTGCTGCATTTGCGTAGCTGAGCCGGCGCTTAAATTCCACAATTATTGCACAAGATTTGCAGCAACAAATTGGCGGCCATTATGAATATGTATGAGCATATAACCGAAGTGTTGGAGGCGGGGTCTCTTGTTGTTCTGTGTTTACCCGACTCGACTCAGGTGCGAAGCTGCTAATCCATAATCCATCTAGCACATGCCACCGAAGCACTCCATTGCCTTACAGCAATCATCAATATTGACCATTGGATTAGCTGCCAAGCTCAGCCCGCCCCCACACGTGTCCACGCACAGACTATGGGCAGTTAGATGAGCAGCTCGATGAGTAGCTCGATTGACTTATTCCACAATTATATTTACACTCGCTTGAAATGCTGTTAGCTGCCGCCGTTAAGTGTGAAAAATTCCAGGTGAAAGAAAAGAAATGGAGATAACAAAAAATAAAAATGTTCAACTGAAAGAAAGAAGCTGGTCGGCTCAGTGGCTGGCAATTAGCATTGCCTCTAAAATCTAGCACCTTGTCAAAGTGAAAGGGCCCCACCGCTTGGGTGGGTGGGGTAACATCTTAATGCTGCCAATTGCGCGTTTTATGCATCCACAGTGCCGTCTCTAAGCAAATCTAAGCCCAACAGCAACAACAACAACAACAACAAAAGCAACAAAAGAAATGGGTGAGTGCGTAACTGAATAAACAGCTCTCTGAACTTGGCTATTTGTTATCGTTCTGGCTTATGGCTCATGTGTACACACACACACACACACACACACGCACTCTGGCATGGGTATTTGTGTTTGTTAGGGGCGTCCCATGGCATGCCACAACTATCCAGCCTACTCTTTACCCTGCCGCCCCTAACCTGGCACAAAAGCTGCTTAACTTTAATCACACTAATTGCACAGCTAAAAGGATAATCGTGTCGCTGACCGCAGCAATTTGCCAGCTTCAGATTTCTAATGCCCCACTACACATATTTATTTATATTTATTTCCCCTCTTTTTTTTCAACTTTTGGCAACATTTTGAAACGTGTTCATCATAAATGGATACGCATAAAAGTTCTCAGTCAACAAGCTTTTTATTTACTCACCAAATGTGTAGCTGGAAGAGAAAACGTTTTGGCTTAATTAAAAGTTCAGATTTTAAATGTTTGTAAAGGCTATTGAAAACTATTATTAATATTATTATTTGTTAATATATTATTTGTCAATTTAAAAAGAAATATATAAAAATGTTTTCATATATATTTTAATTGTTAACTTTTCGCCAAGTATTAAATGGCAAATGACTTAGTTAAAGTCCTCGAAGTCAGATTACGCAACCCGCAAACTAATGCAAGTCAGTGGCTCCTAAACTGTAAGCTCAAAAACTTAAAAACTGTAGAAGATTGAGACTGGGATTAGCTGTCAATTGTTTATGTGGCCTCATCTTCAAAACCTGATCGTTCAAATGCCAGCTGACGATAGCTCCTTAGCCTATGTGCAATATATTTATTTGAATAAGCTCTTATAGTCAAAATTTATCAAGTAAGAAGTTCTAGTCGGGAGCTCCCGACTAGGGGATACCCTGAACCCTCTTCTTCCAACATCAAATGCATATATATATTCTATTTTAGAAGCTATATGTCAAGTTTGGTGACCCTAGCTTTTATTATTTACTTTTGCCCAAAAAACAGGATAGCGATATCGATTTTTATCGATTTGGTTGGAAACGGAGTAACTTATCGATTATCGGAAACAAGCTCGATCTGCGCAGGTTTCAAGTCTCTAGCTCTTATAGGTTCTGAGATCCTTGCGTTCATACATACGGACGGACGGACGGACAAACAGACGGACTAGATCAATTCAGCTATTGATGCTGATCAAGAATATAAATACTTTATGGGGAACATTGAACTTTGTTAAAATTTTTAAATATTTGTGTCTCAATTCGTATCGTATTATTTTAAAGGACATTCCATTTAAGAATGTAGCTGAAGAGTAGACAAGAATCGAGGATTATATCATGGAATTTATGGCAACTACAGCTTTGATATATGTATATTTTTTCGTCTCGAATTATTTAGCTAAAGGGGTTAGAAAGTGATTAGATTATATTATAACCTATATCATATTAGAAGTATTTTTTCTCTTCTCATATTACTACGCTCCAGGACTCTCTATATAAGAATGTAGCTAAAGAGTAGAAAAGAATCAAGGATTATATTATATAATTTTTTAATCAATTCCAGCCTTGATATTCGTTTTTTCCCATCGCATATTATTCAGTTAAAGGACTTTCCATATAAGAATGTAGTAAAGTATAAGAAGTCGAAAAATAATCAGTACTTATATCATGGTTGAAATATGCAAACAATTCCAGCCTTGATAGTTTTTTTTTGCATTATTTGAAGGACTCTCCACATAAGCATATTTGCCAATAATTCAATAGCAATTTGTGTTAGCTATTAGCAATAGTTGAATTTGTGGCAGCTTGTGTGGCAGTGTGGCAAGTAAATCGAGTAGCTGAGCAGCTAGCAGCTGAGTTGGAGAATCGTTTTCACTTTAGTTTATTAAATTCTATGCACATGGCTAAAATGTTGCCTAATCTAATGGCCACTTAACTGGCCACTTTAGAGAATTGATGTACGGAGGCGATAAGTCAGGCTGAAGCCCGTCTCCTGGGTGGCATCCAGGGTCATCTCGTCGCTGGAGAAGTGCAGCATGTACGGCGGCGATGCTGGGCGTGGTTAAATGTAAACCGATATTAACAACAGGTCAAGGATGCAGCAGTCGGTGGATGATAGCAGCACTTACCATAGACGATGAAATTATCGTTGGTGCCGCAATAGTAGGTCGGCTGATAGGCCGTATTCTTGGCCAGCAACGAGAGCGGTATCATCAGATAATCCTCCTGTCTGCCCGGCGTATGCACCGTGGTGTGGCATGCCTCATCATAGCCCTCGCCCTCGCCCGTGCCCAGCGACAGGGCGAACTTGCTGAAGCTATATCTGCAGAGAGGCAGAGGAGGCAGAGTGTGTAAGGTTGTTAGAGCTTACAACATGCGGCAGACAGCGACTCACTCAATCATGCTGGCACTGGGCGTGGACTTGATGCAAATGGTGTAGCTGGTGTCCGGCATATAGGTGGTGCCCATTGTCGGCTGATAGTTGAAGCTGCGTATGTTCCCCGTCAGCTCTGTGTAATACTGCTGACAGCCGGCCGGTGCCAGCAGCTCGTAGTCGGCATGATGGGAGGCAAAGATGCTGCGCAGATCCTGCAAACTGTTCGCATTGCCACCAAAGCCGCCCAACGTGCTCGTCTTGCGTTTGCTGCTGGCCTGTGGCGCCTCCAGCTGTGTGACAATCAGGCGCCAGTTGGTCTGCGGCCAGCGTGTCGGCACCGCAAAGGTCAGCGTGATCTGATCGATGCCAGCGGCCACATTGAACGGCAGATACAAATGTTGGCCGGCATTCATGCCGCACAGCTTAAAGCTGCCTGCCTCAAAGTAGTCCTGGCATTCAACCAAACGCTCATCTGTGGCACTAACCGCTGGCTGTTGCAGCTCGAACTGCTCGAAATCGATGCGCAGCTGTTGCACGTTCGCGCTGTATGCCTCGATTGTGTACTGGCACATGGTGCTCACAAATGAGGCCGGGTTGCGGATGATGGTGCGCTTCAGACGCGTCGTCGTGCCACAGGCCATGTTGGCTATGGCAGGCAAGGAGAGGGAGACAGGGAGGGAAAGTCAGTTTCTGGCTGTGCCACACACACACTGCGTTCACTTACTCTCGCAGCAGACGCCATAGGTGCCGCAATAACCGTTCACTGTGCCACCCTGCCGCATGCACTTGAAGCGCGTTAGGCAGGTGCCCGTCGCACCTCCATTTGTGGTGCAGCTGTCCGCCAGAACGTTGCGTCGTCGCGCCTGCCGCCAGCTGCCCGGCTCGCTGGGCACCTGTTCCGCGGTTTGATTGAGCCCCAATGTTGTGGCTGCCACAGTCTCTTGTTGCGCCTGGGCGCAGGCGCAGATGCCCAACAAATAGAGGCTGACTAAAGCTCGCATAATCCTTGTGCTTAAGGTGTAGTTAATTGATGTGTGGTTCTGCCACTTGTTGCTGCTGCTGCCGCCTACACTTTCACATTAACTCTGAGCGTGTGTCTGGGCGGCGCAGCAGCTTTTATATGACGCCAGCGTTGGCAGCGACGCCGACCGCGACGCCGACGTCTCTGCGCTGATGTGATTTTCGTGTTAGAAGCACTTTGTGTCAATATTTGGTAAGTAGAATCTAAGAGCGGCACAAGTCCGGCTGTCCGGCTTACGTTGAACTAAGATGAATACGAATATGAATATTCAAATGTAACCAGTCATTGAACCTCGAAGCCAAACCTCGGCCAGCTCTGCTCGACTGGCCACAAAAGTGGGTTATGTTTGCACAGAAAGAATGTCTCCCACCCATATAAATTGGAATTACTTGCGATGATGTCAAAAAGTGAAAAGTTGCTACACATTCTGGTATGATACCATAAATTGCTGTGTGAATATGACAGAAGAAATTATCAATCAATCAATTGCTTATCAGCAATTAAATATTGCACAATCTCAATTGCACAATCAAGCCAAAGACATGCCAGAAAGTGCAGCAAATGGCAGCAAAATGGAAAAAACCAATTAAAAATATACCTAAAAATCTGTGCATTTGCATTTAATTGAGCAGTTTCTTGAATTGAGCATTAATGGAATTAAAGTTGATGCGATTTCTATGACAGAAAATGCAACAAATAGCAAACAAATTCAAGAAAGTAATTATAGGTAGACTTAACGAGAAAGTACGACGAAGACTTAATACCCTTGTGGACATTTGACTTACGGCCTTGCAGATATGTGCGAATATTGTAGCTATATATCTAAGTATGTATACAAATTAGTAGTGCGATCTTTATAAGATTTGGCTCATATATAATTAGCCTAGTTTAACTAGTTAGAGGCGGGCTTTGTCAAGATGTCATGATCGCAAAGTTATTCATACAACAACTACCTTTTCGACCGACTGTTCCTATAAAGGTTATATGTCATAGCTGCCCGATCCGGTTCCAACATATGCACCTCATGCAGCAAAAAGGCAAACCTATGCAAAGTTACAAGGCAATATCCTTTAAACTGAGAGACGAGTTTGCATAGAAACAGACAGACGGACATGGATATATCGACTCGTCTGTGGATGCTAATCAAGAATATATATACCTTATAGCTTCAGAGATGTCTTCTTCTATGCCTCACACATATCACACAACTTTATAATGCCCCAAAAACCGTATACAAATATTTGCACTCACGTTGAATCAATAAAAAGTTTCTTGATTTAAGAATAAAGTACATTAAATTTGAGCTATTGAAAGTAAGCCCAATTAAAAATCTTATTTCCCGTTGTTATTTGAATTAACTGAATTTAAGCAAATGCATATATGATAAACATTGTGCTTGATTCAATTTTGATTTCTAGGCATACATTTTGGTTCTTCTTCTTTTTGTTGAGCTTTCTTCTTTTGTTTATTCCGGTTTTTGTTTTCGAAATTCCACTCAAAAAGCTCTCAACTAGCAAATCGTGATGAGTAACAATTGTTGAGAAACTCGCTGCTTCAATAATCGTTCGTATTTGCATTCCAAAAGATAAGTTTAATTTAAAGCTCTTTCAAATAGTTTGCTATGTATTCTCAATTAATCAACACTTACTTTGTCGTGTTTTTTAATATAATCGATCACTGCCCTCCTGCTTTCTTTCGGCAAAAACGTGCAGAGCTATAAATATAATCTAACACTTTCCTTCTTCTTCTGCTTCTTCTAACATTTTAAAATATTTACAAGTTAATCAACACTAACTTTGTAGAGTTTATAACATAATCTGGCACTATTCCTCTTCGTCTTCTTCATCTTCGCCAGCAAATATTTGTTTAATATTTCATGTTTTCCAAAATTAATCAACACTTTAAAATTATGCTCTAACGCTTTATCTTCTTCTTCATCTTTTCCATTCTGCATCAAAGATGCAAACATTCATTTATTCGGAAAGTTTTACCTAAATTAATCAACACTAACTTTGTAGAGCTTATAACGTCATCCAACACTCATATTCTTTTCTTTTATATTCTCCATATGCAATCATTTGTTTATATTTCGAATTTTTCTCCCAAAATAATCAACACTTACTCATTTAATCTAAAGCTCCTGCACCTCTTCTTCTTGTTCATCTTCACCACCTGCAAACATTTATTTATAGAGTTTGTGTCTTGTCGTTTCAAATAGCTACACATTTGCTAATTGGAAATGTTTGCAGAATTGCCGAGCTTCACGCTCCAAGGCAGACCCCCTGAGCTTGTGCGATACAACTTATCGATTTGTTATCGCGGCGCCACAACAATGCTAATTAGCACAGATAATTGTGGGCCAAGAAGAAGCAGCAGCAGCAGTCGCTACCATAAAAGCCCGACAATCGCCGCCAGAGAGTCCAAAAACCAAAATGAACAGCTACATTGCAATTGTGTGGATCGTTTCTCTAATAGGCGTGGGTGTGCAGGCGGCATCTGTGGCCACGCCCGGCTGCGGTGGCAGCACCTCCGCGAAGGACATCAATCTGGTGAAGCCAACGAATCCGCCACGCGAATGCGAGTACCATATCAATGCGTACAGCAAATACGTCTGTCAGCTGCGCATCGACTTCGCATTGACCCTGGCCCAGCCGGAGCTGCTGCAGTCGGCGCAAACGGGCCTGAAGACGGCCGAGTGCAGCGTGGACTACTTTGAGGTGAACGGCTTGCGGCTGTGCGGCGAGGAGATCTGGCAGCACATCTATGTGCCCTTCAATGCCAGCGCAGGTGTCTCTCGCATTGATCTGCTTATTTCGCTGGCGAATCGTGCCGGCGGCTCGTCCCTGCCGACGCCCAATTGGGACATGGTGGTCACACAGCTGGAGTGCCCGGCCGGCGCCTCGGTGCGCGAACTATTCGCGCCAAGTGATGAGCCCCAGGCTCGCGCCACTTCATTTACCGATGGCTTTCTGGTTGCACCACCCGGCTGCCTGCAGTACTTCCCGCAAACCAAGGGCGTGGTCAAGTCCTTCAACTATAACGATGGCCATGGCGTCTATCCATCCCATCTGAACTATGCCATCTGCTTCCGACGCACCACACAGACCTCGGCACTCACGTGAGTTGGCGGCCTGGAGAATTGAATGGAATTTAAGTGCTTGTTTTTTATTCCAGCATACGCTCGTATTTCTTCCATGTGGGCGCCGAGAGCTCAGCCAGCACTTTGTTAACGGACAACTCCTGTTATCGCAGCGGCAGCTCCAGTGTTAACAACGCCGATTTTCTAATGGTGCCGCAGGCCAAGCTGGTGGAGAACAATGAACGCGCCACCTACTTCTGTGGCGCCACGAACAACGATGTGGTCATCAGCAGTAAGTAACCAGACCAAGAGCTTTTCCACACACTCTCTCTCTCTCTCTTTCTCTCCATCTCTCTCTCTCTCTCTAAAACTCGCTTTACTTTATGCTAGGCAACAACCCTGGTCCTTTGCTGGTGCTTTTCAACAGCGATGAAATCTACGACTCCAACGATGCGGGCTTTGCCTTCACCTACACCGTCGAATAGAGAGCTTTTTCTGATTCGAAAATCTGCTTAATAAAGTTGTAAACCCTGTAAATGCAGTTGTTCTTAAGCTTTTTATTGCCAGCACTTTAAAAACTGATTTGTTATGCCAAATTTCTTGATAATTTGATGCAACTACTTGAGGCTATCTTTTGGCCCTATCACGACTATCAATTACAGATACATCTATTTGCGCAGCTATCAAAGCTGAATTGCATGTTGACAGAACTTATCGCAAGAGATAACTAGTATATATGGTATCTCGATTTGTGTGTCAACTTGTCCAGAAACACGAAAACCTCTCGAAAACAAGTCAATGAAATTTACAGCTCCGTAGAAAAAGAAAATTCGGAGAGCTTTTTTGCAAGCTCAGCCATTGTGAATGAAAAATGAGGAAATGCAACAAGTGCTTGTTTATATATTTGTAAAACTTAACATAATATTTACGCTACACGCGCCCCGTTTCTTTTAATAGCGCACTTTAATTATAGAAAATTGATAAGAAATAATTCTTTAAATTTATGTCGCTGCCCATTTTAATTAGACTACAATTAGAAGCTTGTGATTTACGTAGTGCGTCAGTCCAAAAATAAAAAGGCACACAACTGATAGAGACAATGCCTGAAGAATAATTCATAAGAGTTTCTTATCAGCAAGCAGCATAAAATTCAAAGTAAGCCGGTGGCAAACGCAACTGGGGGCAATTTTAGAGAATATAGACGACCATATATAAATCTCGGACAATTTTAGAGATTATATACGACGACATAAAGCTCAAGCATAAATATAGTGGATATAACAAGAGAAATAGCAACGCATTTTTTCAAATGGGCTTATCTACAGAAAATGTTAAAAGGAAAGCGCGCGCAAGCCTTTGCAAGCCTAAACTCAAAATGGGCATGTTAAACTCAAATTGGCGCTGTTAACAAAACCAGATACCCAATTGGAAATTGGAGACAGCTGGGCAAGCAGCCGGCCGGCGCAATTGTTGCGTGGCCTTTGAATATGTTTGTGGCATGTGCGGATTTCAGTTGCCGTTCAACAGCCGCGAATTCCGAACGTACCGCGCGGCAGCTACAAATTCTGCTACAAAGTGGCGCGCAAATTCAAATAAAACTCAAGTAATTTAAATGTAAAGCGAGTTAACAGTGAATATTCGGCCAATTAAAGTACATGAGCATAAAAGTGTTAAGGAGCAAGTGCACATATAAAAGAAAATAAAAAAAAAAAAACACATCCACTAAATAAAACTTGAACGGGGGCTGATTTGTTAATTTGATATCGCCGGTTGCAGTGCGTGCCGCTTAAAAGCCAATGTAAGTGGCAGGCATTTAATCAAGCCTCAACTCGAGTTGAGACCACGGCGCAGCTTTGTCACTGAGGAGGCGACGCAGCGGCGTCCTTGGCATGCCTCTGTGT